AGTAGCTCAGACTACAGGCGCCTGCTACAGCACCCAGGTAGTTTTTCTATTTTTAGTAGAGATGAGATCTCACCCTTGCTCAGGCTGGTCTCGAACTTGTGAGCTCAAGCAATCCACCCTCCTCAGCCTCCCAGAGTGCCAGGATTACAGGTGTGAGCCATCTTTTAAAATGTTACTCGTTCCATTCATGATGTATAATTTAGTGTTGGGCAGGAAGGCACAGGGGTAGAATCATCGGAAGGAGCAGATGCCAATGTGCTGAGAGAGAAGCCGCCCAGAGGGGCAGCTGGGTTTCGAGTGGTCAGTGTGGTTTCTTGAAAACCAGAGACTGTTGTCATTAAGGTCAGCTTGACTAAGGAATGGCCACCAGAGGGGGTGGCTGGAGGGGACAATCTCCTCTTCCCTCTGCCTCAGCTTCCTGAAAATGTCACATGGTTTTAGCATTAGCAAAGGAAGGATCCTGAGACTCCACGGGGCAGTTGGGAGGCTTCTCCTCCAGAACTCAGCGTTTCAGTCCTTCTCTGGCCCTTCTGCCTGGGACCCATGCTTGCAGCTTACTGAGTGGGCTCCCAAGGGCCAGCCCTTAACAAGCTATCAGCTCTCCTCCCTGCAAGGAAGCATCATCAACCCCATTTAACAGATGAGAAAACTGAGCTCCAGAGGAAGGCAGCACTTTGCTAAAACATGAGACAGGCATAGAGGGAAATTTTAGGCTTAGAAAAGTTAAATAGGCTGTGGCAGACCTGGAGTTGTGCTTCTTCAAGAGAAACTGCTTTGGGGCATAAGAGGCTGGCTCTTTTCAGCTGTCATACCCTGGGATCTGCAGTGGCCCCCAGGGACACTGCAGCTGGATCATTTATACTCCACACTGTGCTCTTCTCAGGGTGACTTCTGCTTGGGGGAGTCCTATGTGCCTGACTAAGACCTTCTCAGAGCTGCCCTATGCACTGGGGTCCCCTCCTACCCTACCGTCCTCCTGCTGCCAAATCCCCCCAAAGCATCCTCAGGGCACAATGGCTGCCAGCTCTCCCTTTCTGTTCCTGTCCCCTTCAAGTCATCTTTCCCAGCTAATCCCATCTTGGCACCTGCATCGCAGAGGAGCTGACCTGGCATATGGCCTGGGTCCAACAACTCATAAATGGTTAGGCAGGGATGGAAAACCAGATGTGAATGCCTGGTCTTTTTAACCCCTGGGATAAGTTGCCTGTGTAGAAAAGTCACAAAGAAATGGTTGGCACCTTTTTACTCACGTCTCCTTCAAATCACCTGAAAATTACAAACCTTGTTTTGCTACTGTCTTCTGACATAATTAATATTTCTGCTCATTCCCTCCTCCCCCAAAGAGATGCAACTTGTTAGCATAAAAAGGCCAAATGCATTTTCTAAAAATGATCTATCCAGCACTGAGACTGCCTAAAAGAGTGATTTTCCTTTCACTACAGAATGCAAAAGAAGAAAGGTGATTTATCACAGAAATAAATAGCAGCCTTGGAAAAAACACGTCAGCCGTATTTTTAGAACACTGTCAGTCCTAAGCCAGAGCCGAGCCGACTGTGTCAGGCCTGAGCGGTGTGCAGTCAGGTTTGCATCCCGCCAAGCGAAGAGCACATGGCCGGCCGTTGCGAGCCCAGTCCCGTGCAGACTAGCACCTCTTTTCACAAAAATGGTAGTGCCACCTTCATTAGTGACAAATGCATGGTGTTATGGCACCTAGACTTTCCTGGGAGGTACGACCGAGTTGTCCTATGGAGAGTAAGGTTCTGAGTTGGCGCTGGGGAAAGTTAAATAATACCTGGGTTTCAGTAACTCCTGAGGGAGCTTGAATAGCAAGTGGCTGGTAGGAATGTCCCCAAACTGGAAGGCTCCATGACTAGCCGGGGCCCTGGGAGGTGGTGGGCAAGACTGTGCATCTTGCCACATCTTCACGCTCCTGGGAGAGGCCACTGGTGTGTCCTGCAGCAGCTGCGTAGGAGAGAAGCAAACCAATTAGGAGAGCTAATTATCAGGGGAAGAGCAAAGAATGCTTAACTTGCTAAGTACACTGCTCAGTGTTTACACTTGATCTTAAGAGATGAACTGGATAGAGAAACAGAAGAGCTGACGAATGGTGTCACGGGGATGGGACGTTCCCACAGAGAGCCATGAGCAAGGGGCAGAAGCAGAGTATCTCCTTAACTCTTCTTGCAGCCAGGTCCTTCTTTCTGACGTTAGGAAGTCAAATCCACTTCGACTTGGGAGCTTTTTGCTACCAGGACGGTGTAAAATAGAACTGGAAGGAGTGGGGGGATTGTTCTTCTCTTGGGGAAGCAAAATTTAGGAGCACAGGAAGAACCATCATGTCCCTTGAGAGAACCAGCACTTGCCCAGCAGCACCGAGGTGCCCACAGCCAGCCAGCGGGCCCTGGAGCCTCCAACCACCACCTCTGCTTCATGGCCATTCGCTTGGGCAGCAGGGCAGGTGAAAGGTCGGAGAGAAGAGGGGACAGAAGAAAAGGGACCATACCCTGGCCCTGCCTTCATCAGAGTTGACTGTGCACAGAAGCCTGTGCAAGAGGAAGCTTTGAACTTCCAAGTAGGACTGAGTTTCAATCCAGACAAACAACCATAATAAATATCAAATGTGACTAGAAAAATAATTGTAAATACTGAGATTTTCTCCAAGGCAGAGCCCACATTCTGAACTGCCCATTCACTTCTCCCAGGGCCTCAGGGCTTAGCGAGTATCTCCATTAGTCAAAAGGGAGGCGGTTACCTTGCTAGTGATTGGTTCAGGGGTACACATGTGACCACCTTCTCCTGGCCAATGAGCCTTGAGGGAGAGTTGGGGGCAGGGCTTGGGATACAAGAGGAACCACCCGCAGAGTCCGTGCTTCGAGCATGGGCAGAGTCCCTGCTTCTAGCATCAGATGGAGCCGAGAGAAACGTGGCAAAGCAGAGCTGAGTCCTCACAGGCCAGGCAGGAAGCCCTACCTGCCCTTGAATGAATGGCCCATTCTGTGAGATTATTATTATGATTATTGAAGCCATTTCTTTTGCAGTTTTCTGGAACCAGCAGCTAAAGGCTTCCCAACAGATTCAAATTCCTTCAAGGTTAGGTTTTCCTCCCTGACTCCTGGACATAGCCTTCAGGATGCAAACTTGGTATCAGTTATTGAAAACTTTCTTCACTTGCACATTGCTGAACAGAGATACTCAATCGTACCCACTAGAAAGTTAAGTGACTTACTTAAAATCACAGCCAGATCTTGATCCTACTGAGATCAGAACCCAGCCCGCTGCTCATGCCGGGACTCGCCCCCGCGGGCCTCTCCCTCTCTTAGTCTCCCTTGTCCGTCAGCAGCAGTGGCATCAAGACGCAGTTTGGCAGGTATCTTTTGCCACCACATCTTGATTCTCTTAATGGCATCATTATTCTTCAGAGTACTGGTCTCAAAATCATAACCAGCATGGACAGCCCGCCCCTGGCTTCTTTAAAGCATCCAGCCTTTGTGTCCTGCTCTTCCTCTCAGCCACACATTTTGTTTCAGGCTTACCTTTCTATTTCCAGGGTCTCTGCTTTGAAAGCCAGCCCTGACTCTCCTGCCTGTACCATGGCATTAGCTTACCCGTCTGACTCCTTGTCTCTACAACGTTCCTACACCAAATAGTCCCACCAGCTCCTGCCAGTTTAATAATCTTTAATCTTTTAAACAGCTTAAGGCACTCCTTTCAATAGCTTTACACTGACTATAGAAAAAGATCCAAATTATGTGGGTCATATGAGGCTTGCCTGATCTGGCTCCAGCGTGGGATTCCAAGTCACTCCCCCCTCCAAAATTTCTTTCTTTTTCTTAGTTTCTTTTCCCTCCTCCAAAATTTCCACTGTTCATCAAGCTCTCCCGGCCTGTAGAGGCCCTGTGATGTGGCTTGATGAGCACACTCTTCGGGATTCTATGGCCCCAACTTTGAATTCTGACTCTGCCATTTACTGATGGGGTGCTCTCAAGTTTGTGGGGTTTTTTAATCTTTCAGGGACTCAAGTTCCTGCCCTGTAAAGTTAGAATTTTTTTCTGCTCTCAGGGATGCATAGTGAGAACCGAAAGAGACAGTGAGAAGACTCGCCAGGATCAGAGCAAATACACACAAAGCGTTTTGTATTTGCGGGTCCCACCCACATCCTGCCTGCCAGCTTTGGGCTTCTGCTCAATCAACAACAATATTCACTCATTTAAACCTGACCTATACGCCAGACTTAGCACCTGGGTCCCCTCCTCCAGAAGGACCCCTTGGTTTCCACAATAAGGGAATTCTGCTGCACGGCTCCCATAGCATATGCCCCTTCCATGATGGTAGCAGTGTGCATAGCAATAATAGCATGTACTGCATGCTTAAATTGAAAATACCACATTCAATTTTCACATCATGAGATACTACTGTTATTTATCTTCATTTATATTGAAGCAAACCGATCCAGAGATAATGGCTGATAAACAGACCTTGAAAAAATCATTCAAGGTCACTTATCTACTACATGATAAAGCCCAATGCAAGCCCTGGACGTCTGACCCCAAAGCCCAGGACTTAACCACTAAACTACGTTGCATTTTCTCTGATATTGGGCTGCAGGGGGCGGAACTAATGTCTTATTTCATCTAATCCGGGGCTTGCACACAATGAGAAATAAATAGTGTGTTCACTGACATCTCCCATATCAATAGCCCCAGGGCCCCGCTATCTGCTGTGGTCCTCACAGAGACACTCGACAGTCTCACATCATGTTTCTGCCCCTGGACGTCTTTCAGGCAGGCACCTGTCACTAAGTGTGCCACAAACTCCATTCACTCTCTTTCCCTCCAAATATTTGCCCTTCTCTTTTCTCCAAGGAGATCTCGATGGCTTCTCTGCGAATTCAATAACCCAGACTAGATGCCTCAGAATTATTTTAACTCCTCCCCCTCCTTCGTCTCCCAAATGCAATTAGTCTGAGTCCTGTATATTCTATCTTCTAAGTAGCTTTTGAAATCCTTCTCTCCAGTTCTAGCATCACTGTGCTAATTTAGTCTTTCAGTAATTTGCAGCTTTACAATGAAAAAAAAGAATATGATTTCATTTCTGTTGGGGTGATTCTAAATATCTTCTCTTCATAAGAGTAACATAACTGATGACCCTTTGGGATTTATGAAGTATACTTCTTAATAGCATAAAACATTTCTTATTATGTTATTAACTGTTCATGCTTCCCCAAATCATTGTGCAGCAGGGAAATACTGGCAGACAAGTGACATGTGGTTGACGTTAAATAAAAATTATGTCAAACAGGAGGCCATAGCCTGTAAGGGCACGGGCTCTGGGGGTGGAATTCCAACTCCACCTTCCATCTGCAGGAGCCTGGGCAAACTGCTTACCTTTCTAAGCCTCAGTATCCTTTCCTGTAAGGTGTGGTTAGTACTAGAACTTACCTTCTATGGTTATGGAAAGATTTAGTAAGAAAATCTGCTTGGAGGGCTTAGTGTAATGCCTCGTAGATCAGGGGTGTTGAAGGCTACCCATTAATCATATTAATGGTACCCTCAGGCCTGGGAGATCTCATTATTAACCTCTCAAAGAGCAAGAGTTCCTGAAGTCCTGACCCTGTGCTCAATTCCTTACACGACTTCTGCCCTTCCAGACAAGGAGTGTCATTTTTTTTCAGTTGCGCTCCATGCTGTGTATTAGAATCAGCCGAGGGGCTTTACAAACCGCTGCTGCCTGGGCCCACTCCAAGAGCTTCTGACTGAATTGGGTCAGCTGCAGCTTAAGCGTTGGGATTGTAAAGCTCCCCAGGTGTTTCTAATGTGCAGTCAAGGTTAGGCCACCCTGGTTTGACAAGGCCTGGGTGCACCTGTCTGTGGCAGAAGAAGGAGCACATCCCTGGCACTCTTAGAGAAAATCACGGGACCTGCTGGAGACACAGCAGGTGTCAAGAGAGCAAGACATCAGCTACAGAAATTGAGAACCTATGTCAAGGTTCTGTTTGTTCTGTGACTGCCAAAAGGCAGGTTTTCATTAAGATATGAAACAAGAGCTAACAAGAAAACCACTGCAACATTTTGGTGTGATTCACCTGTGGATGGTTCATCAAGCCACTTCGTGGGGGTACTGACCCCCATGGGATCAGGTGACATCTGCCCCTTTTCCCCGACATCTCCTACAGGACAGGCTTAGGAGACGCCTCTGGATAGAAAGATATAAAACTCATACTAAGTTTTTGACACTTACCTGGTCAATATTCAAAGTCTTGGCCTTGTGAAGCCTCATGGAACCTTTAAGCAACATTAGAAAAGGTGGTTTGTTTAAACTGCAGCCTCCCAGGGACACATCTCTCTTGGTAGATTTACTGGCCAAATCTAGGACTTCAGGACTCTGTAATGACCTGGAACAAGGGCAGAAATGAAGGCCACCGCCAAACTCCAACACATCCAAAACATCTAGAAAGACTCATTGGTGGAGAGAGCCCACTTCAAAAATAAACATTCTCACTGCTATGGTTCCTAAATGGACTTCCATTTCCTACCTTTATATCACATCTAGAAGCCAGAAGAGGGGCTCAAGAAACTTCTACTGACCTGGATTGTGGCAGGGCCAGAATACTAGATAGTTATTTCTTTAGAATGAGCATCAGAGAGAAATATGAAGGTGAACTATGTACAGAAGAGATGGATGGCGCTGGATGATACAGAATGAGGGTAAACATCAGGAAATTCCAGAGGAGAGTTCACGAAGGATTTATATGACTACATTTGAGTAGGAAAGACTCAAACAGATTTGCTTTAGCTCATGATTGTTGTCTGAGCCTTACCATGGTAACAGCTGGTGCTAAGCACCCCAGTGTCCTCTCCGTCACACCTCATTCCTGCTCCTGTCTAGAACTAGATGTTTAAGGAAAATGTTTCCTCAAGTGGGATAACTCTGAGCTTCATTCTGGCCAAAGAGGACAGTGCCCTCATGGATGAGAGGGCTGATGGCACTGCTTTGGTGGCCAGAAACTTCCAACTGAGGTTTTCCAGTCAGAATCAGCTCTACCTTTTTGCCCCGGGAAGGATTTTCCCTCTTCTCTAAGAATGATCATTTTGCATCAAAAGAAAATGTTTAAACACTTGCTTGGAGGCACCATGCTCTGTTAGCTCTACTAAAAGTCAAGTTCAATGCTGTTGTGATTGAGTTTTCCAGCCCTGCAATGGTCCATGCAATTCCTTGGCCTTGAAAACCATGAACAGCTGATTAAATCTAAAGGCACAATTAAAATGAACTAAATGAACTAAAATTTCAGTGTGAATATTTTCCATGCATATGATTTGAAGTTTATTTCAATTAGACCTTTACCAAGTTATCTGCCAGTGCTACTCCTCTAAAGGTAGGCTGGGCCCAGGAGATTTGTATGTTTTTCTTTTTTCCCCTGAGGCAGAGTCTTCCTCTATTGCCCTAGGCTAGAGTGCCATGGCATCAGCCTAGCTCACAGAAACCTCAAACTCCTGGGTTCAAGCCATCTTCCTGCCTCAGCCTCCCAAGTAGCTGGATTAAAGGTGCCTGACATAACACCTGGCTACTTTTTTCTCTTTTTAGTAGAGATGGGGTCTCACTCTTGCTCAGGCTGGTCGCAAACTCCTGTGCTCAAACAATGCACCCATTTCAGCCTCCTCAAGTACTAGGATTACAGGTGTGAGCCACTGCACCTGACCTATGGTTTTTTTTCCAATGCCGTACATATTGCCAAAGAGAATGTCTTGAAAGATTGTGGCATGAGGGCCTTATTCAGCACATGTGGACCAATCTGACTTTGCTAACAGGACTAGTGAGATGCCCCCTCACCTGAGCAAGCCATTTTCATCAGTTACCCACACAGAGAAGATCACTCACCTCCGGACAAAAATGTTGCTGATACAACCCTCAAAATGACTCCCACCCAGACGCAGAGATTGCTGGGAATTTGAAATGCCTCTTAGCCTTTGGTTATTTCTCTGAGGCTGGTCATCAATGAGAAGCCGAACCCTGAAAGAGGAGGAAAGCAAATCAAAGGTGTGAAGTGCTGGGAAAAGGTTTTCACCATGTGGTCAACTTCCTGTCTCACCCAGACTCAATATCTGTTATCTAAAATAGCCAGGGAAATTGACTTACTTCCAGAAAGCATTTAAAATTATTTCATGTGTGTCATTTTGCACATAATATTTTTATTAACACACTGACTGCCATATGAGTTTTATTTGACTCATGCTAATTTGGAGCCTGGAGGGTGGTGAAGCATATATAACTCACACAGTTCTTTACCTTGGGAGCCACATGGTGTGCAGGCAACTCACGCTGCCGTGCTGTAGCGTACATGTTACATGATGGGTGGCCCCTTGGACAAAACCCTGCAATTAGGTTTGTGAAAATCCTACTCATTGATGTGTTCTTATTGTTGCATATAACTCATGCATGGAAAACAATGAAAAGTAACAAATGTTTAATTAAATTGGAAAGCCTAGTTTTTAAAAATTGATTCATTTTGTATTTGAAGGTTTTATTCTAGTTTCTTAAGAAAGCACTGTGGCCCCAGTGAAAAAAACTTTTTTTCTAGTGTGGTAATCAACGTACTCAAGATTTGTATACACAGAAAAAGTGCATATATGATCAGTGTTCAGCTCAATCAGTTTTTGCAACATAAGTACACTAGCAAAGCCAGCACCCAGATAAAGAAACTTGCACCTCAGGGACCCCATCTTGTACTTCCTTTTATCTCGACCCTCCCTCCCTCTATCCTGAATTCTGATAGAATAGTTTTGCTTGTTTCTGAACTTTATATACATGAAATCATAGGGGACGAATCACACATGCATGACTCTCTGTGCTCCACATTATGTTGCTGTGATCCACCCATGTAATTCTACATAGTTCTAGATCTTTCTTTCTCATCACTGTATATACTATTCCATTTAGAATACGACACAATTTATTTATCCATCCAACTGTTGATTTGCTTTTTTGCTAATGAGGAAATTGATCTCAAACAAGGAAAAGGGCCAAGACTTACTAGGAAAATTGTTTCAGCATCAAGGACAAACATTTTGTAAAAAGACACCAGAAGATTCCATGGAACAAAATAAAACTCTCACAGCTCCAACAGAAGTACCATTCCACCTACCCAGAGCTGTCGCTTATTATAGATACATAATGCAGTAAACCATCCATGTACGTCTGTGGGGACTGAAAAATTGGGTCACTGCTGTCCCTGGTGCTCAATTCAATATGACCATCTTCCAGAGTGATCTGCAGGCTACTTGTCTGAAATCATCATAGAATATACCCATCAAAAATTAGTTTGCATTAAAAAAATTAGTTTGCATTTAAGGATTATGAATTATATCAACACTGAATTATTATCAAAACCATGTATACAACAGTCAGGATATTTGGCACAAATGTTTTGACTTTGCTATTTTGATCTAAAGACTACTTTTGAACATTTTGACCGCATGATTATGAACATAAAAATCTTATAACTAGACCAGACTCAGTAGTTCACACCTGTAATCCTAGTACTCTGGGAGGCTGAGGTTGGTGGATTACTTGAGCTCAGGAGTTGGAGACCAGCCCGAATAAGAGCAAGACCCCGTCTCTCTACTAAAAGGAGAAAAACTAACTGGGCATAGTGGTGATTTGCCTACCCAGCTACTCAGGAGGCTGAAGCAAGAGGATTGCTCAAGCCGAAGAGTTTGAGGTTGCTGTGAGCTATGACACCAAAGCACTCTACCCAAAGTGACAAAATGAGACTCTGTTTCAAAAAAATAAAAAATTCTTATTTCACTAAGGATGAATGTGTCAAAACCATCTTTGTAGACCTACATTCAATAAGCCAACCTAATTTCTAAATCAATTATACAAAACAGTTAAGCCATTTCTAAATTTTTCTACTTCTACTTTCATTTTGCAGAGGCTGTAACCATCAAGATCAATTCTTTTCTGAATAAATTCTATAGCAAAGCTTGGATTCATCAAATTGTTTTAACATAAGAATATCACACTGATTTTTTTCTCTTTCATCATTATGAATTTTTTATTTTCTGGACATTATTTCTAACAAGTCCAATTCTCCACGTCAAACTCTGCAAGTCTAAATTTTGGCAAGGTGATTTGTCTCTGTTGATTATAAATCTTAAAAAATGTATAATTTCAGCAGTTATCATTTTAGTTCTGTTCATATTTTTTTCTGCAGTTTTCTGTAGTTTTCAATAATATGTGCTTCTTCAGTGATCTCTTAGGCTTAAAAAAATTTTATGGTGTGTGGTTACAGACATGTTGGCTTTATTTTATGCTGATTCTTGTTGAATTGGCAATATTCGTTATGAATTAGATAAAGGAATGCTAATTCATACATATTTCTTAGCTAACCTATTAATGGAGGGAAATGTCCTCGGGTATTTCTAGGATTCTCCCATTATCCAGGATGGAACTAATCTTTTCCTAACCCAATTCTTTCAGCTGCTTTTGATCATTTTACATATTGTGCATTAAGTGTTCCTACATGTGACAGAGGAAACAAGTGTCAAAAGAGCTTGGGCAAAACATCCTGCTTTGATGGAAAGCCACCTCCACAGCTAAGTGTTGGCATGTGCTTCTTCAGGGCTCATTAAAAAAAAAAAAAAAGGATCTCTAAAGACTGGTGAGCTTTAGAGATGACCAACAAGAGAGGAGTTTCTAACTGCATCTTTCAGCAGATACTGGATGTTTCTTGTGCTCTGACATCCTGAAGAAATAAATCCAAAATGATCGTATTCTAACCGGCTTCTATTTTAAAATTCTACTCATTCCACAAGAGGATTTCAAACCATTAGTTGACTTCTGTACCTACAAAACCACACTAGCTAAATCCTCTTAAATTATAAGGATTCTCCTTGTTGAAGATCATTTCTATGGCTCTGCTATATATGGGGAAAGATCAAAGGACTTTATTTTCTCCCATTTTCTAGATATAAATATTGTCCTACTAGCTGATGCACAAGAGGAATGTGAAGAATTATCTTTTGGGCTCAGTGCCTGTAGCACAGTGGATATGTTGCCGGCCATGTACACCCAGGCTGGCGAGTTTGAACCCAGCCAGGGCCAGCTGAACAACAATGACAACTGCAACCAAAAAATAGCTGGGTGTTGTGGTGGGCACCTATAGTCCCAGCTACTTGGGAGGTTGAGGTAAGAGAATCGCCTGAGCCCAAGAGTTTGAGGTTGCTGTGAACTGTCACAGCACTCTACTGAGGGCAACATAATAACACTCTGTCTCAAAAAAAAAAAAAAAAATTATCTTTTGTGTAATCTAAAAGGAATAATAGGGATCCATTCTGGTTTTTATCCTTAGATTTAAAACTTTAAGTTAAATTTTTAACATAATAGTTACACATATAATTCACCTTCACTCTATTTATAAAGTATACCTGGAGAGAACGAAAAGGAGTCCAGAAATATACACAGATTCAATTCTATAAATTGTAACCT